GTTCTTGCTGCTTTTTCTGTTGTTCATCACCCACCTTTTCCTCTTCGTCTTCATCACTATCAATGCTCGTTGTCTCGAACATCTCTTCACTGTCGTCATTTTTCTTTCCCAGGCACCAGTACGTCGGCCCTTTCGGTTGCGTTGATGACAAAGGCCAGATATCTTTCCCGTCCATTTCGTCTTTCTTCTTTGCGCATCCTGTACTACTGATCACCTTCTTCCTTCTCTTCCTTATTTGGTAACATAACAGAATATCGTAGCTAGAACTCGGATACCAGCCAAATCCCCAAAGATGATGCCTGCAATTGTTCCTGGTCTGAGACCTCTCTGCCTTTTCTGTTGAGTCTCATTCATCGTTCCAGATGACCCAGTTACAGGTATCGAGTCTATGGTGTTCGGAATAGCTGCAAATGCAGGAGGAGAAGTAATTTCAGAGACATTGGATGGAGAAGAAAGAACGGAAGTCACGACACACAGGTTCTTCAGTGACTTCCCGCATAAATCCGGGTTTCTAGCGAACGGTTGTGTTTTCTGATTGAGAAAAGCTACGTTCTCCAGGATTTCTCCTGTGAAATTATTGAACGAGAGGTCAAGCGTGACATTCCCCGGGATTTGCTATCCAAATTCCGGTGGAATCCTTCCGACGAGCCTATTGTACGAGAGGTTCAAGTAACGGAGGCTGACTCCACTAAAATCTGGCAGCAACGACCTGTTAACCAGATTGGAAGACAGATCTAAAACTTGAGCGGCTTCGAACACACTTGGAACACCACCAGAGAAGTAATTGTTGCTCAAGGAAACGACAGTAAGATTTTGAAGAGCAGTGAGGTTCTGAGGAATCTTTCCCACCAAGGCATTAGCAGAAAGGTTAAGAAACTCAAGGTTCTTCAGCCCTCCGATTGTCTCCGGTAGTGCGCCTGAAATTACGTTGTTGGAAAGAACAGGGGGTATTTCCAACTGACTAGAAGAAGAAGAAGAAAATGAGAGAAAGGGAGAGAGGGAGGAAGGGAGTGGCTGAGAGGGGTGCCGCCGCCGCTGCTCTACTTCTAGGTTCAAACGGAGAAGGGGAGGAATAGTGCATATTCAATTGATTTATGTTGTGGGGGAGAGGGGTAATTAGGAAAGAGAGATTGAGAGGGAGAGAATGGCGGAAAGGGAGAGGTTTCGCATGAAGCACCACCACTGCTGAGAGTTGTAGCGGTGGTGGTAGAAAATAGGGGCAATGAAAGGGGACAATGCCAGAAGAAGAAGAAGAAGGAGAGGAAGAAGAAGAAGAAGAAGAAAAGGAGAAGAGCAACGGAAAAGAACAAGAAGCCGAAGAAGATGAGAGAAGAGGAAGAGATCAGATTTAGAGGGGTGCCGCCGCTGCCTTTGCTTTTGGGTTCGAGAAAGGGTAAAATAGGTATTTTGAAAAAAATATCATCTCTTTTAACGTTTTTCATCTTGGTTATTGACGATAGGGAGATATTTGCTAATTTTATCAAAAATAGAGGAGAGGTTTTTACTAAAATGAAACTATAGAGGAGGATTTTATTGATTGTCAGAAACTTCAAGAGAAGTTTTTGTATTTTTCCCTATTTAATAATCAATTATGGGGTGTCTTTGCTTATGATAAGGTCAAGGTGATTTTAAATGGGTAAGTCAATATTCGGCATTAAATTTTGGGTAAAATATTAAAACTTCCCTTGACAATCCCATAAACCTCCCTTGATATTTTTTCCCATTTTAGCTTTTTCGGTATCTGAGAATGAAAGTGTGTTATGATCCGGAAAGGTGCCAATATCTCTCTCTAATCTAGTTTATCTCAGACCTAAGATCTCGTCTCTTTCTTTCCCATCTCCACATCACCTTTTTTTTATGTTAATAATTCTTTAAAATAATTAAATATTTCATTAAACCGTGAACTATTACTTAGGTTGAGTGGTTTAGCGGTTTGACTGGCCGGGTCAATGAATTTGTGACTAATTTAATAGTTTATTCTTTAAAAAGGCGGTTATATACTTATATTCAAAACTGGACCTGGAGATATAATCAGTCGAGTCAAACGGTTCAACCGTCCAAGGAGATAGAAGTATGACAAAGGAGGGGGATCTAGAATGCTGGAAGATATGGACTCTTTCAATGCTCTTGAGATTGATCTCGTGTGAAGGCCTTTGGGTCTTTCCCTTTTATGTGGAGGCCACCAAAGCAATAACGAGAAATAGGTAAGCCTTATTGAGGTTTTGCCACATGTTGAGTGAAGATCTTTCGGAATTGAGATTCCCCTATCCTTAGAACTCTCAAATGGTATGTTATTGGTTACAACCCTTACGCCTAATCATGGTTACTAGTTAGGAATAATACTATTTGAGTGATGACATGTGTTGACACGATGGGGTGAGTCATTGTAAGCCATCATGGCAGTAAGTGAGATGAACTTTGTCCACTAAAGCTCCAAATGGTTGAGTGATGTGTATAGGCAATCACAGGTGTAAATCAAGTTGAACATTTAGCAATTCGAGCTCAGCTCATCAATACACTATGAGACTTTAGTTCGATTAGGTTTGCAAGCCTCACGAGCTGAATTTTATTGGGCTTAAACTCGAGTCAAAGCTCAGTTTAAATTGAACTAAATCAAAATTTTCACGAGAGTTACGCTCGAATAACTCTTGAAAAACTCAACTCATGCCCACCCCTACTTTAGTCATTTCAAAGGTCTACGATTGTGTTTGCTCAACAAATTTGTTGAAAAATGCATCGTTCAATAATCACCTCTGCATCATCGTTCAATAACTTGAGCAGAGCTTTAATTTATAACTTAAAAATACAAAACCCTTGACTACTACTTTTCCTGTCAAAAATTCCCCTTGACCTCCATCACCTTTCCCTGCTCAATGAACAGGGTCTCAAGGACTAAGTCGACCACCCCACATTAAAGTTGCCTAACGCAGATCTTGTGAGGAGCATCAAGACTTGCTCCACCTTGAACACCATCATTCTTGTTAAATCCCACTAACACTGACTTGCAGTTAGAACTGAGTGATCAGCAATGTCCTTGTTTATCAATCCAAGAAAAACTCCTTGAGCTGAGGACTTCACAATCACAATCCCCTACCAGTTATTAGTTCTTGTGCACCTGAAAAATCAAATATTTTGCACGTAAAAATGAAGGATTAAAGAAATAGCATAAATTAAATTCTCTAAAATTTCATATTTCCAGAGGATTACGTGATATCAAAGAATATTTTAACTTTGGGTTCAGTTTGGAAGGAATACAAATACAAATATCTACACTGCAAAACCTTGCATTTTGCATTATTTTGTATGTATTTATACTGTACATATTTGTATCTGTACTCTTCCTAAACTGAACCTTAGTCTTCCTTAAACTGACTTCGACTTCAATTTCTACCTCTAAAGGGCAATGCCTTCAGCATTACATGACCCCACATAAAAAGTTGCAACTGATGTGGCGAATATCAGTATAAATGAATTAGAGACTGATTCCTATTCAATAGAAATCCCAAAATCAATTGCAGCAAACACATCTTGACAATCAAACTAAAGAATATTGGGGAGAAAATCAAACCTTGAAGATTTCTGAGAACCAATCCAAACTGGCCATCGAGAGGAAGGTACATCTGGGTACCATAGTAAATATACAGTTAAACAAAAATGGTTTATGGGTAAATCTGGCATTTGAAAACATTAGAACATTAAGTCAGCGTTTTCTAGCAGAAAAGGCAAGCAAAGGGAGCTATTTTTGTACCTTTTCTTAAATTCTTGGGAGGATTTTATTAGAGTCAGAACCGAAGGGATGTTAATAAGATTGTCAGAAAACTCAAGGTTGGTTTCTATGATTTACCTTTAAATTTTTTATTAAACAAACTCAACCTACGTACGATAGTTAAGGTGCAATATATATATACCCTTGTCTCTTATAATTTACAGTCTGTCGTGGCAGCTTTGGCCACTGGTTTGAATATATAACCCAGCGGCTCTTGTCAGAATGGTTCCTTCTTATATTTATATCTAAGCTGGTGGTGTTTCTATCAGATCCACCCGGCCTAAAAACGTCAGAACCACCTGCATACATGCGCTTGTACTAGTAACTTAAAAGCGGGGAGCTTTTAGTGTTCGGATCTATTCATACATCACTATAGCCTCACATTAAGAACATCTCATATATTTGTATTTTATCATTCATGGTAAGAATGGCAAATTTCCCCATCTTGACCGAGTATCCAACCTCCCCAGCCTAATCGAATCGGAGATGGGGAATGAAGTCCCCGCCATTGCCCCATCCCTAATATTATATATATATATATATGAATTTATGTTTTAAAAAATATTGTTAACTAAAATTTTTGGAGATTGCCCCATGGGAAAACCATTTCTATTGGAAATTGGGGGATGAAAGACAATTTTTATCTCCAACTGTGACCAAGATAAGAAATGGGAATTTGTTTTAAAATGGGGGTCCGGAACAGGAAATATAATCCACACCCAAACCCACTCTATTGTCATTCCTATTCATATGGAGATGTTTATAATGTACAACTGCGATGTACTGTAGGTAGATGCAGATAAGATTCTAATGGACAAGAGATCTAAGGATCCACCACCAAAGTGAAACCCACCATATTGAGATATGCGGTGTGAGATTATGGTAGTAGAGGGTTGGAAGATGTTTTATTGCCAAGTGATCCAGAGTCCTCGCTTTGAACCAAGGTGGCAGTTTTAAAATTTCACAACAACCAAACTTGAGCTGGCAGTTTTAAAATGTCACAACAGCCAAACTTGTGTTAGGTTTAACTAAAGTAATATTAAAGCAATAGGTTACAGCCATTTGTCTTGATTTTACATAGAAAAGGACTTAAATATTTCTTCTTGAACATGGGTGGACATGCGTCGTCTCTGCCTCATATAATACATTAGTGAATGAATTTGTCACTCCAGTCTGTACATCTTTTGGCATTTGAACTTTTTTCTTCTTTAAATGCGGATGTCCATCTCTCTCTTTTTGCTTCAGTTACTCTCCCGCTCTGTTGATTGTTTTAAGCGAACGTCTTCCTTACCCCATAACAGGTCTCTCTCTCCCCGCTCTCCTGATTGTTGCAAGCGAATATCCTCATTACTTCAAAGCAGGTTTCTCTCTTCCCCCGGATTTGTGTTAGATATTAGCATGCAAGTTAATTAGTTTTCCTTATTCTTTTCTTATTGTAGATTTACAGATTAATTCTCCCCTACAATACTAGTCATCAAGGATTTAAATCCACACAGAAGGTAACTCTTTGTTAATGTATGCCGTATAATATAGATTAGGATTTTCTACCATGCCTTAAGTTTTTTCTTCTGCCTTTTTCTTATTACACACACTCCCTGATCCACATCTATAAGCCAAAGAAACAACAGTATCAAGAATTGAATTTCCATTAAGCATCATGCTTGGCAATATTAGCCTCTATCATTTTAAGATAGAACTAGCATGCAATGCATGGAGTTGAATTAGGTTTGTTTTGGCAAATTAATTTGGCTTTTCACATCATCCTGCATCCATGTTTAGCATTGGTCTAGGGTTTGCCCTTAATCCAATCAAACCCAACCCAACTATCATGCATATTCAAGAGGAAATGAGACATTTAATAGGAGGGAAGATGTTATAAACATTGGCTATTGAAGAGAAAATTAAGCCTATGATGACGCTTATATTGTGACATTTTATACTTTTAATAATTTAATATAAAGTAAATGAACAGTCGTGAAATTGGAGAGGAGAAGAAAGTTTGTGTGAGCATCGAGGTGAGAAGACATTGCCTCCCTCTTTCCACTATATAATTATAGATCTAGATTCTAGTCATTATATAAGACCCAAAGATTTCTGTCCTCCTATCTCTAAATATTTCTTCTTGCCAAGCTATTGTTTCTCACCTTCCATCCTACCTTAAGAGGAGATCCGTTAATATATTATAAATTATTTTATACTATATATTATACCATACCGCATATTATATATATATATATATATATTAGGAATGGGTACCCATGTCAAATAAAGCCAGCTATCAGGTATCAGATACCCTAATGTCAAAACCCAAATTCATCCCAAATGTTATAGGGTTTTAACTTAAAATCCCAAACCTTATAGGATTTTGATAAACAAGTCCTATTAGGGTCGGGACAGATCGGAGACCCAAAAATTCTGTTGAAATTGCCATCCTTATTTAGTAATAGTTTTTTTTTTTTAACCTTTTTAATGTTTGAAAGCCCCTAGGTAGCATTCAAACCCAACTTACATCAAAGTCGTGTTTAGTAAATATCAGCTCTAATATCTAGATGGTAAAATACTTCTAGATATATATTAAGTTTGCTCGTGTAAACAATGGGCCTACCATCTTTTGTATTATTTTCATTTGGACCAACATACGTGTGTAATTGATAATGACATATTTGTTGTTTTTATTCAACCTATACTACTATTAAAAGTGTGAATGAGGTCTAGATTCTAGAATTTTTTTAACTAAAATAACCCTATTTTTGAATTGAGTCTCTTTATTATGAGGGCAAAAAGCGTATATTTTTATTAAATTCATTTTATTCTATTTCATTAAGTCTTATATTTAAGGTATTAACTCTCATTCCTTCTTATTAAATCCTATAAACCACCATTTTTCAAAGCCAAAATGAAAAATAAACCACCATTTCTTTTGGGTGGTGGGTAAGTATTTCAACCATCCACATCAAATGGGTCAACCAATAGTCTCAGTTAAATAATAAAAGTTTAAAAATTAATAAAATTTTAATATTACAAAAATTATAAAATTTTGTGAAAAAATTTAGGCACGCCTCTAATATTATATATTTATCACATTAAACAATAATAAGTATGATAGACAAGAAGTATTTTTATTAATGATGAAACTAAAATACACGATTTAAAACTAACCTAGAAACAAAACCATTATCCTATTCAATTGGTGAGTCAATGGTTCAACCTTTTAGATCAAATTGATCAACCCATCATGCCATAATTAAATAATACAGTTTTTTAAAAAGATAAAAACATAGAAATTTCATAAAAACACTTGGATGCATTTTGAAAATTATGTATTCATCATATTAAACAAAAATAATTGTAATAAATAAGAATTATTTTTATTAATGGTAGAAGTAGAATAAAAATAGTAAACTAACTTGAAACAAAAATTTCTTTTACATTTAATTTGTGGTCAATGTTCCATAGGGATGCAAATTGGGTAGGCTTAATTTAAGTCTGAACTGATCCAACTCTTAATTTTAGATATGCTGTCTTGGAATCCAATCATATATATATATATATATATATTGATTTTGTGCAGAGTTAACTACCCTCTTGAAATCCAAGACAAAAATTTGTTGCCTAGGCAACAACATTGATACCAAACATCACCTCTATTGGAATTAGGTTTGAAACGGCAAGACCTTACCTAGATGGCCAAACTAATTTAATCTAGACTACTCTAGCTTGTTTGTATGAGCACCCATAAAACCTCTAAGTGCTTCACCCTATTCTATGAATAGAGCTCAACTTCAAGCCAATAAGGGGATGCAATAGATGCTTGTCCATAATTTATGATAGTTATTTAAACATAGCTTTGAGTAGATTCAAGTTTATAACTGAGAAAGAAGAGAACTTGATCTCTAAATAATTATATTAATTTGAGTGTTGTCTATAATTGGGGTGTTGGTTTGTCTATAATTGGGGTGTTGGCATCAAACCAAATGTGGAGAGCCTCCAATTCATTAATGAAATCAATCATCTTAATGACATGGTCATGGAATAGTTGGCTTTCGATCATTTTGGTGGTCATCAATGAGTTGAGAACCTTTTGTTGGCAAAACAATTATGCTCCATGTGCACAAACTTTAAACTATTCAAATTTCTTTATTGTCATATTATTCTAGATAGAGTTGTCTAGGGAGTCTAGGATATAATAATGAACAAGAGAGTTTTTCTCCTAGCATTCTTGATACTCCTTTCTTGCCTCAAAATTCCATTCATAGAGAGCTTCTAAAGCTTTCTAGTTGGCAATCTTGTCTAACTTTTTAGATGTTAGGACAATATTTAGGTTACACCTCTAGTCAACATAATTGAGTCCCTTAAGTTTGTTGTCAACTAGCATATTAGTAAAGGGTGTGAATGCTATTTCTATAAATGTTCAAAAGAATATATCAATCAAAAACCATTTATTACTTCATTTGACAAAATTTAGAATGGGTTTTTATCTACATTCTACTCCCATTTGTTCATCTAGCTATGAGACTTCCATTTATCCCAATAATGGTCTAAGCGTGAGAAACCATAGAAGTGCATGCAGCTAATATTTTTAGTTGAATAACCCATTTTGTGAAGGATGTAGTATCCTCTCATCTCTTGTGAATTTCCTCTTTGATCTCTAGCAGATAGGGTTCATAGCCATTTTAGGTAAACTTCTTTAATAAGTAAGTGATGATCCATATTTTCGTGAGCCCCTGGGTACTATGAAATAGTATTCCATTTTAGGATAGGTCCCTCACACTTGTTTATGATAACCCTATCATCTTATGAGAAGTTCCAAAAACATCAATAATCAAGTAGATAGCCCAATTTTATGATTGATTAAAAAAAGTGGTATGGTATAAAATCGTAAAGGTTGCTTCCTCCACCCTTTCTCTCATGATAAATTCCAATCAAGCTCCCCCCTTGTAGAAGAATTCGTTTGCTTCTATTCTCTTGCAATTCTCACTTCTTATAATGTCTTTGTTATAGGTTGTTGTGATCACTACAACCCTAAAGCAGGATTAGCTTGCAATTGTTTTTTGATAGGAGGTTCTAGGCCAATCATATCATCTTTAAAATTGTGCTTGGATTAGAACATGTATGCACGATCAACCTTCTCTACCAAAGCTAAAAGAGTTTATTTGTAAATCATTTTTTCTAAAGAATGAAATCTAGGTTACAACATTGGATTTTGATTTGTTTTGCAAAGGAGGAAATGTTTGGTTTTTCTAGAAAATGTTCTGCAAGAAGCCTTAAAGCTATGTTTGGTTTGAAGGAAAAGGTAGGGAAAGGAAGGGAAAGGTAAGGAAACCTTTACAAAGGCTCGGCCTCGTGATAAGGGGACACGTGGACATGACTTGGCATAAGTGACACCTTGGTACGAAAACTCCGCTAAGGTCTAGCGTGGCAGCTCGACTACAAGACACTTCTCCGAGTGCCCCGAGCTCCGAGCTCCAATTCTCCCAGAGCAAACACTCCGAACTGAGGTCCTCCTAAGTCAGGGGCATCCCAAGCTAAGGGCACCCCGGGACAAGTTCATTCCCAAAGTTAAGTCGAGCTCAAGAGCCCCACCTCGGGTAGAGGAACCTCGATATGATACCAGTAGCTCGGGACAAGAGTAACATAGCGAATCACGGAAGGATTTTCTGCCTGACAACCGTACCCGCCGAATCTGCAGACTGTACCCACGTCTCTCGTCAGGCGGCGACGTGCCTACCGACTCTAAAAGATGTCTCTGGCAAGGCCGTACTCTGCAACGACTACCTACGCCCACCACCACAGCTCTGGTAGTAACGGCTGCGACAGAAAGGCAGAGGCAGTTATGCCTGATTTGATAGAGGCGGTTACGCCTGATTTGACAGAGTTTCAACATAAAAGGGCCCCGACCCCCAAGGGGCAAGGGTAATTGCGAATTTAGCGCTCCTTCACTCTTAGCTTCCTCTGCAATTCCTTCTCTATTTTCATTTCTCTCTCTCTCTCTCTCTCTCTCTCTCTCTCTCTCAGTTCTAACTTAAGCATCGGAGTATTCCCGCCGAGCAAGCCCCCCGGGAATCCTTCATCTTCTCCATCTCTTCTTAGGTGCCTTGTTGCTAGCTAGGAGCGAGGCCCCCACCAGCTAGGAGTGACTGGATCGCTACATCATTTGGCATCGTCTGTGGGAAACGCTTCCAAAGGCCTTTTTCCACCAAACTTGTAGACTCAAGTTCTCATGGCTTCCTCCAACAATGCCGCACGCACTACAGAAATGAACGCCGTCAGAGAGCAGCTCCAGGTCCCAGCGGTGTGTATTGAATAGTTCACCGTCCCCCTCTCTCTGGATGGAGTTCCCACCCTAAACATGCTTCAAACA